TCAAATTAAGAAACTAGAGGCTTACTGCTTAATTAGTTTCAGTTATGAAGAACTATACTTTCACTTGCTAGGAAAGTTTATATTAAATAGTAAATTACATTTTCATACAAAAGACACCATGTCACACAAGATTTGCCAGCTTGTATATAGTACACCGTGGTGATGCCATGTGTGCTTATATTTTTGGAAACTATCTCTTACTTTTTTTATATTTCTCTACTCCACATACTAAAAACACGTAAACATGAAACTCTAGTGATTTTTCTCCCAAAATTACATAAACCCTGTAATTTCATAAGATGATAAGTATGAGTTTATTTGGTAAAGAATAAGCAAGTCAATTGAGAAAGAAGAATTTACTAAATCATTTCAATATATCAGAACTTATTAGATTGAATGAACATATCAGTGAGGGTTATATAACTATTTCTTCACAAACATTACCCAAAATATAATACCAGTATTAGTGACTACTTTTTAAAGCACTGAATAAAATCACAGAATCAAAATATTGAGAAATCAGAGCAAAAATTTTATAAATTCAAAATTTACCTGTTGTAGATCAACAATGTTTACTCGACCTTTAAAGAAAAGACATTCATTTGTTTGAAATACATGTCAGTACACATCAGTCAAAAATTATAAATTCTTACAGATTTTAAGTTTTGAAAAAAGTCCTTCTACAAAGGACAAAGAGCCACAATAATTAATGTCTTCAAATACAAACTATTAGCTGAGTAAGTCTTCATAGCTGAAGCCACAGCCAATAATTTATTTTGAAAGTTTTTTTTTTTTAAATCACATCAGACCAATTATGAGTATCAACTGGTAAACAAGTCAGCTAGATCTATGGAAGTTATTCAGCTCCCTTCACAACTCAGAATTTATCTACTGTGACCAAAGAGATATTGACAACTGGATACTCTTTTCAATTATTTTAAATTGAAAGGTAGATTTCTACAATCAGCAAAAGAAAATCTGTTACGTATTCCAAATTACAGCTCATATTTTATTGGCACTATGCAGGAAAATAAGAAATAAAACAAATACAGGGTTATACTCTGATAACACCCAATGAGGAGTTGCTTTCATAGTTGCTTCTATTTTAACCAAGCAGTTTTCAAATTTGCTCAGTAATCTGTCCATATTTTAAAAAGTCAAAGGAAAACATCTTTTGGGGATGCTGGTAATAGCATTTCATACAGTATGATGGGTGTAACACCATATTGAATTGAGTTACCTAATTTGTACCTACTTACAAGTAGGTGTTTTTAAAAAAAGCATGATAATACAGCCTTGATTTTTCAAGAATCTATAATCCTTTATAATCTCTGTTTCCCCCTTCACAATTACCACCTGATAACAGGCAGCCAAGTACCCTCTCCTGAGTCACACAATAAATTAATGAACTGGGAAAAGAAACTATCAATTCACATACAGTACACATAACTCAAAATAATAAAAAAAAATTTATAAAGTGATAATATTTGAGTTCATTTAAATTATATGACCATGTTAGTATCAATCTGGTAAAAATATTAAGGCTGATTATCAACAATGGAAAAGTATTATAGTTTTAAGGATTTTTTTTCCTTCCAAAGATCCAGAAGAAAAACACACTAAGGAATTACTTACCACCTCGGACATGTAGCTCATCTCTCATTTCTTTACTAATTTGGGCTGGAGTAATATATTCCTTTCCATCAAGTGTGTGAACTACTTCTAACTGTTTCTGAGCTATCAGTTTATTCACAATCTCAATACAGTTCCGCTCTGACAATCTGAGGGGGAAAAAAAGTTAAGTTTTAAAAGTGCACTTGATACATTGGTGCTCAATAAAATTAACACAACATATGAAAATAGGCTTTTAAAAGAGTTTGAATAAAGAGTCACTAACTTCTACATTACCAAACCTGTATCTTTCATTAGCATAACAATGCTGGTTCAACGAAATGAAAAAAATCTCTTAAGAGTAAGCAAGTTTACATACACTTAAATCATGTACTTAATCGGTACACATCATTTTATTACAGATTTCAAGTTTGCTGCCTCTTTTAGGCCTGCTTCCACTCTCCAAATCTGAATAGAAAATTGAGAACATATAATTTAGATACCGGGAAAAAACCTGCCCTACTTTTACTTCAATTTCCAGTTTAACCAGCATTTTCTTTTAAATGAAGTGCATAACTGCTTCACTCATACATTTGGTCTGCAGGCAGGCAGGGGATCTGGCCTAGTAAAACCATTAACTGCTACTGTTAGTTACCCACCCACTTACTGTGCCCTAGTTTGCTCTCAGTATTGCAAAATCCAGCATCAAGGGACTGCTATCTTCAAGCCCATAAGGAATAAGACGTAGCAGGTAATAGTTAATGGATAAAAAGGATTCCCTTAGTTCTGTGACATGAAAAAGCAAGAGTTAGGGTTCCTCGGATACATTCCCCAAAGGTTAGTGGGTTTGTAGAAAATGTCAGTGCTCTGGAGTCCCTAAAAATGACAGCTGGGGTCAGAGGTCTGGCAGACAAAAAGGCAAAAGTTTTTAAAAGGCCAACATATTATTTGCAAAGTACTCTTTTTGGGGGTCTCTCATTCTAGGTCAGTGTGTAATAGGCAACGATGCCTCAATGACACGGCGGCAGGTGGGTGAGGAGAGGTCAGAGGGACTTCAATTAGGACAGCCTGCAGCTACCAGCCTCGGCCATCGTGGGGGCGGGCCGCGCCAGCACCTGGCTAGGGCGGATATGGGGGGACTCCCTGGCGTCGCAGGTTGCGAGCTTCGCCGCCGAGACCTAAACTAGGAACTTCGATTCGGGATTGGGACGGAGGGAGAAAGCTGGAACGGTTACAGGGAGTAAAAAAGTCCGCGGGCCAGGGAGGTAAGGGCCCAGATCCAGGCGTGTCTGCGCAGGGCCTGATTTGGGCTCCACGATGAAAGGGAGGGTCGAGCACCTCTGCGTGGCCTCGGCGAACTGTGCCCGCTGGAAGTCAGCCGCCAACCGCCTAATCTCTTCCCAGGCGTCCGCCATGTCTGCTCGACTCTCCGAGATACTAAGGAACTGTGGACACGTCAGCCCAACGACGACGAGAATAGAGGCGAGGCGGAACGGGCCGCGCGGAGGGACAAGAGACCCCGCCCCCGGCTCAGATACCGAACGCGCGCCCCGAGCGGGGGGGGCGGCAAAGAGCCGAAGCCCCGCCCACCTCGCGCGAGAGGCGCGTCCCCGGATGGCGAACGGGGTGGGGCCGCTTGGAGGGCTGCGTGAGGGACTCCGGGGGGCTGCGAGCTGATACGGTGGGAGAATAAGTATAGGGTTGTTTCAGAACTTCGCTTGTATTATTACTCCGTGTTTCGGCGGAGTAATAATCTAGTTAGCAACTTTTTCTTTTGTCCTCTATTTGTTTTGGGTTGGAGGGTGCAGAGAGAAGTGTCTGTGCCTGCAATTAGTACCCTTTCTTTAGCTGGTAACTTTGAGCAGTGCTCTTTGTATAGGGAATCGT